CTTTTCACTCCGCTCTGCCGCAAAATAACGTTAAAAATAGAACCTCAATAGTTTTTTTTTTGTTTTTTTTTTAATTTGGAATTTTGTTGGGCTATTGTGTCCCTCTCCTATATGAGCCCACTACATACATCCTCCTAATACACATAAGAAACGAACACAAACACCACGAAGCGCTCAACACCTGAATCACACTCCCGTTGACTGCTCCAGAACCTTATATGTAGCCTACATATGAAAGGTAATCATTTGGCCGGTGACCACATCAGCATTTATTAAAACCGATATTTTTCTCAGGAGTCTCTCGAACGGAAAACAGTGCTCCGATGTTCGTGGACGATATCTCTTACTAAAAAGCATTGGTACAACTAATAATAATTCGGCGCAGTCGCTAAAACAACATCCACAAGAACGGCACCTAAAATAAATGTTATCGCTTCGCGTCCTGAGCGGTGCAGTCAGGACGACCGAGTCAAGGCAATTTCTCCGCTTTAAAATCGTTCTTTTGCTTTTCTTGACTAGTTGACTAGTTTAATTGAGCCAATAAAGTCACTGACAGAGTGAGAACGGCAGGGCGTAACTTTGGAACGCCTGGCCTCCAGCAAGCGCTCCATGCCTCCCGCCGTGCTTTGACTGCGCGCACTCGCCGAGGTGTGTGGCACGCTGAAGCGTTGTAAAGGGTAAGATCGGCACGCGCTGGAGGCTGGACAACTGAAGCTCCTCCCTACCGGTCTCACTTTGTCAGAGACTATTGAGAAACTTAGTGACTTTTGACATCTAGTCGAGGTGTACATTGGTAAAAAGAATGCAAGATAAAGTGTCTATTGACATTGGCTACAGGGAGTCAACAGAATATTTTCTACACGAAGTAAACAGAGCGTCTGCAGTCTTTCTGATGACACTGTCAACAGGAAATCAGCAGAAAAAAAAATTAACGTAGAGTTAACCGAAGGTCTACAGCTTTTCTTTTGACTCAAGCTGAAGAATATCAGCAGAAAATGTTCAACGTAAAACCAGCAAACTTTTTGTTGACCACGTCAGCAGGAAGTCAAAGTTAAAAGAACGTAATCAGAGTCAACAAGAAGTCAACACGTTCTCATTAAAAAGTCAAAAATAATTTTCATAAAGGTGGGCTAACAATAAACATCAACAAAACACAAACAAACAAAACTGCCGCACATTACTTCACTTTTGAGGGAAGAGCAGTCTTGGTGGTAACTTGCAGTAGAATGTAAATCAATCCTGGTATGAAGTGCTCACTACGCCGCCAGTGTAGAGGGTTTAAGTGCCGCCGTCCGGTTAGGGAATTGAATAAGTACCTTAAAGCGCTTGGCATGTTTCACGGGCGTCGCTGTACCTCGAGTCTCGTCCAGGATGTCAAAGACGAGGGTAGCTGTTTGCACCAGGTTTTCTCACAGCACGGAATACTCTACAAACCGGAGAGATCGCTCCCCGGCGATACTGAAGTTGACCTTTATCGAGTAACATGCCGCCTGAAGTAAAAAGGGGGGCGGGGGAGGGGGGGGGGGGGGGAGGGGAGGGGAGGAGAGAAGAGACAGATGAAGGGGCAAACCGACGTTCATCCACCCGTCATAACACATTCGGCATCGTGCCGTTTTATCGGTTTTCATTGATTTTGTTTGACCCATACGACCGATGCTCGAAATGAATCGCCGCAAAAGACGAAGTGCGTGAATACAAAAGTGCATTCATTCTCTTGACTGAACATAATGAGACGACTAATCGATAACCGGAATTCATACGCCCATGCCCTGACGGCGAGTCATCGACGAATTATTTTCGCTGTTTGAAGCCTCTTATATATAGTATATGCTTCGCCAGACCCAGCCGACTCTACGAACTGACGGGATGAATCAGATGGCGTTCGTCATGGTGTTCCTCATATTTCTGTACGTGTTCTATCATCGCGTAACCAATCATAAACAAAAGAGGCCTAGTAACTTGCACCTTTGAAGCTGCTTGATTGGTCCCATAATCCATTACATCGTAGCGCAGCTGAGTCCGAACTTGAGCTGAACGAGTTCGATATGCACTCAAATAAGTTGGTATTCCGGTGTTCGTATGTCGTGTCGAATATTTTGAGCTATGGTTATTCTGTGAGTGGAACATTTCTTTCAAGATCTTCCTTCCGAATATAACAGAAACGAGCAGTGCTTCGGGAAGAAGCAGCTGTAGACAGATGATTCTCAATCCTAGAACATTTCCCCGTACGCTTCCCGTCGTTGCGGCATTTCTTATAATTTCGCTGTGTAAGCCCTTTCGATAAGATCCTTAAATAGCATGTATTCTAAATAATTTTAATGCATAATATAGAAATGCGGGATGAAAAATCTAAATACCTTTTTTCTCAGTAAAAACGAAACACCCCAGCCGTTTGGACTAGAGCCCCTCTATCCTGGGAAAAGTGGCGCCATTCATTGTTGTAGAAATGCTCGAGGTACGTGCCGCGCGCCCCTTCTGGGAAATTCATGGCCTCTGAAATTTAGCTCGGTGCTGCGTTGTGCCGCCATGATATTTCCAAGGGCTGCACGTTGCACGTGCCTTGTGCATCGACGAACCTTGCGCTACTTTTGAAACATGGAGGGACTTTAGTTTGGACGCCTGGAGATTCTAAGGCCGGCTTTCTAGAACCAACGTTGCTTGAGACCTGGGCCGCTGGCGTCCACCGATACCGAGCTAAATACGATAACAGCGCAGCCCTTTAGCGACGAGTTGAAACCTGCTAGAGTCACTGAATGTTCGCAAAGTTCCGAAACTCCAGGCTCGAGGTGCCCAGACGGCGGCTCAATCTTGTTTCTTTGCTATGGTCACCGTGAGCTTTTAGAAAGCATATTTTTGCGTAAAAACAAACGGAAAGGGCTCTTTCAGTAGGAACGTTTATTGAAGATTAGTGCGTAATGGCAGGTGCGGAATGTCCTCTAAAATCCTTAGTTTCCAAGATCTTGCGGCACAATTAATACTGTTTTTAAACAACCATATCTCACCGATGGTTTCAGGTAGCGCATCCCGACCTGGGCGCGTCCCAGTTTTGTTAGTTTGGGAGCACTTCCCTGAGTGGCCGCTGCGGGAGAAAGGGCGGCGTGGCGATCGCCATTAGCTCGGTTCTCGAGTACAGATTGGTGCTACTTTTTCAAAGCCGTCTCCATGGCAATTTCCCAAATGAGTAATTCTATACTACGTTTCATACTTAGCGTGCAACGCTGTCAAAGCTACTGGCGCGAGCGCGTGGCTTCATCTATGGTTTTGTTTGCGCGAGAACGCGTGCAAATGATCAACCAGGTCAATAATAAGCCCCATGCTCGCGCCAAAAGCTTTGACAGCGTTGCACAATAAGAATGAAACAGAGATTTTTTTTTTTTTTTTTATAGTAACGTTGTCTATACTCCGTTTCACCTTATGTTGTACCGCAGCGAAGGCTGGAAGCGCGAGCTCATAGCGTTAACAGCTGCCCTTGATGCACGAGAGCTTGTGCCGCCGAGATCTACCCCAGAGCAAGGAGCTCGCGCTTGTAGCCTCTCCTGCGGTACAACACAAGGTGAAAGAGTATAGAACAGCGTCTCAGCTGAGACTGGGTGAAAGAAAGCACTGCAAAGGCTGGGGCGCGCGAGCGTCTTGAGACGCGGTTTGTGTCTCGCTCAGCTCGTGCGCTGGCTTTGGCAGTGCCTTTTTTCCCCCAGTCTACGCTATTTTTAGCAAGCCGGCTAAACTTCTGGGACACAGGTAATTTCGCTTTTTTGTCTACTTGTTGCTGCTTTCAGTCACTCGTACAGCCAGGCAGGTGGCCAGGCTTCTTTCTCGCGAACCTGCTCAGGCCACCGCTTTTGGAATCGCCTTACCTTCTTTTTCAGCGTATATCGGGGCTACCCCGGCGAGTAAGCTGCCCCACGGGCTATCTGTGGGCGACATAGAAGGGGTAGGGTGGGAATCCCCGATGACGGGCTTATCTAGCTCGGAAAATTTCCGATTCGTGCGAGTGTTTTCTTGGTGTGATTGGACTTCTAATCCACTGCCAAAGTGCAATTATGTGGCAAAACCGCTGGGAAGCGCGCTTTTGAGCTTGACGATGACAGAACGTAAGAGTTTATTTGACACACTTCTACCGGTCAAATCCCGAATGCTTTAATGAACACCCGTACTGAAGAAAAAGCACGAAAGGACAGCACATAATTAAGTTAATAATAATGTTGCGTGTATGCTTCTACAGCCGGAAGTTTGTCCGCCTCAGTGGGCGTCTGGCTTGTCTCAAGCTGTAGATAAAACACGCCAGTACAACCGCTCATTGTTCATTGTGAGTTCAAAGTATCGTCGCCCTCTCTCATAATTGTACAGATTGTTGGGCTTCAAGCGGCGTGACTCGCAACGGTTCGCCCGCACTCTTCCGTAGGAAATGGAACTCGGTTTCCGACTACGGAAACCAATTATGGAAGCTGCTGCCACCCTGATTTCGGCTTCCGTGTTGCACACGGGGCAAAAGCCGAAAGAAAATATAAAATGCGCATTTGAGGCGCATTCAATTAGCACGCGTAAGGTACCGTAACTCGTCGAACTGAGGGCTGTAGAGCAGCGCAAACATTCGCTAGCAATCGGTGCTTAGGTTTTGGCCGCTCCAACCGTGATCGTTTTAAATTGATCCAATTTGGAAGCTCACCTGCAGCCTTTCCACGTGAAATAATTGACTCGCGTGAGAGGGCGACACATCTAATTATCACGTGATTGTTATCCGTTACAACATCGATATTTGTTAAGCGGTCTGCATTGGAAGACTCGTCTACTTTTACGCTGTAGTCGCCGACAGGTTAAAAAACGCGGGGCGTGATTTATTATTTAGCGCGTCTTGCTACGGTGATTCACCCTTCGGCATTTTGATCTCCTACTCCCGTTATCTCATCGGCTGCAGAGAGACAATAAGATAACCGGGACTCACCACGCTCCGCGATTCTTAGCTGTCATTGACTATAGTAAGTTGGTGAACAAGTCTCCGGTGATTGAAAAATCCAATTTATTTCGTCAAGAACAAAACCGAGCGTCTCGTAAGATATACAAGGGTCGCATGAGTATCAAATTACGGGAATCCTAAACAGATTTCACTAACCCCAAAAGGGGGGAAAATAAAATTCTATTCCGTACGAGTTGCCAGAAAAATACCAGTACGGTTCCATCGAAAAATTAAGTTAGTACTAAGTGGCTCGAGCGGAAGAACGCAGCCAAGTGTTCTCATAAACCGACTAAGAGGAGCCGTCCGTCGTACGATGCCATGCACCGCGAGCGCGAGTGATCGAACACATCTACGAGCCTCACGTGCATGTTGCGCTTTACAACTAGCGGCAGTCGCATCGCAGAGGTCGGCGTGTCTCGTAGTCAACCGGACGGTACGGCTGTCGTTGTCTCCCGGAGCTGACGGTCGCAGACCGAGTGGTTCCTAGGGCCTCTCGACGACGTTGTCTTCGTCGTCCCTGGGAGGCGGCCTGATGACCCCGGGTCCTCTGCGTCCGGAGCCGCCGAACAGGTCGATTAGAAGACTGCCTGGCAGCTGACTGCGCCGGTCCAGGCGAAGGTCCAAGATGGCCGGGATGTTGATGCCCAGACCCGTGCCTCCGGCCCCTGTGAGCAGCTTCATGTTGAAGATGCGCGGAATGTCGATGCCCAGGTCGAATGGCTTCCTGCCCAGGTGCCTCGGCGAGGACTCGGGGACGGGCCCTTCTTCGGCGGCGGGAGCTCCGAGAGCGACGGCCACCCCGGCGGCCAGGAATGCAAGCGCCAGGACACGCATGGTGTGACTTCTGCTTCTTCTCGTGATCGGGAGAACGACTGAACACCGACCGAACTGCGCGGGCTCGACACCACCACCGCGGCCCGCTCGCAGACCGGTTCCCTCCATCACCCTCTCTATCTTTCTCCCTCTTTGACGTCAAAGTGTGCGTGAATAATCGGAGGAGGGGAAAAGATGCACCAGGAGAAGCCTGGAGGCAAGGCCGGCCCCCAACATCAACACGTGTGCCCTTGGAGAGCCGACGTGGTCAAGCGACCGAATTTCGCTCGGAGGCCTCTGGTGATTAAGGAAACATTGGGCGCGTTTCCGCGAAGGAGTCTGGTGGCGACGGCGCCACGCTTGGCCAGTCATCCCCTCCGCGGAACGCAATTCACGGAGCAAGTGTGACGCAAGGGCCGGCCTTATATCTTTCCGGGTTGCCCACCCAACCTAAGTGAAGAGAAAGGCGATTGAGCTTTTTCACTTTCTTCGGATCGCGACTGTGTGGAGAAAAAGGCGCACTTGGCCGGTTCGGTCAAGCGTGCTTATTATGACTACTTTCGGAAACGCCTCGTTGAATACGCGGCTTCCAATGAGCAAATGAACGTTATTCTCGGCGATTCTTGGAAAGTGATCAATTTTCTCGCTTAAATATTGTTCGAAGGTTTAAATAGACGCTACGCTCTGGTTCGTTTGTCGGAACTTCTACCACTGTCATTTTGTCAGTTCGAGGAACATTTGCGCTACGATGCGGTTACCGTCGTCTGACCCGTGATCTAAAGCCGGGGTCACACTGCTTATACATCATATAAAAGATAATCTGCAAACACGAGCCACATCAATATCCATGGTTTTGAACCCATTGCCATGCAGCATTCGAACTTCGAAGCACGGATCTCGCTGTGATTCAGTGTTTCCAAAAAATACGATACAAATTGGACATTAGCCAAAGTCCCTGTTCTCTTTCCTCTAATTTAACGTCTAATTTAGCTGAGATAGTAATATCCCTACCGAAAAACGCAGTATAAATTTTCACTATCGGGATTATGGAACTGCCCAAGTCCCTACTAGAGCGACAAACAGAAACAAACGACAGCGACTAGCCTCCAACCCATGCAGTATGCTCGCGATGGTATCTTTGGCAGGCGTTTAGTCGTTCGGTACTCACGAAGTAAGCACGAGTGATTGCAAGCCTGCCAAAGACACCCTCGCTTGCCTGATGCTCGTGTTTGAGCATAGCCTTCTTTATTCTACAAAGCCTTTCGAATCGCAAAAGACACTGGTTTAAAGCTTGTCGTTTTCGTTTGTTTCTGTCTGTCGCTCTAGTGGGACTCGGCAAACAGTCTGCAAACACGAGTCAGCACAATATCCGTTCGTGGTTGGAATGATGCGTTCCAAGCTTCTCCTTGAACTCATTCCCATGCGGTATTCGAAGCACCGATCTCGCGGCGACTCGCGTTCGAATCTGTATGCAGACTCTCTTTTGGATGATGAATGCGCGGCGAGACGTTTAGGTATCGCCGCCTAGTGGTTTTTTTCACAACCCAGAGTGAGGATACTTCCACTTCCTCTGCTGGTGCAAGTCCGTGCAATGCCAAGCTGCTATGCACTATGAAAATTAAGACATAGCCGCGTTGGTTGCACATGCACTGCCCATAGTGAGGAAAACAGAAGCGTCCCTAGTGAGCTTCCTAACGTGAATATAAGCAGTGTGACCCCGGCTTAAACCTGAAATCCAGATCGCAGGCAGAGAAATAGTTTTAATATACCTAATATTCAGATAGGATCTAGACAGCGAAAATTTGTTCTGGGTTTTTCGGGAGAAATAGTTTCAGTTACAGCCTTGCAGGGCATCCTCGGGCTTTAGGACACGTGCAGTTTCTTAACGCCTCCCGAAAAGTGCCAAATTTGAACACTCTGCGGTGGTTTCAGTGTCCTCTTGACCGCTGACTATATCTAAAGCTACGTGCCATTAATTGCGTTTCCAAAAACCAAAACCACAATTGCGCATTGAGATTCTTTTTTTTTTTGGGGGGGGGGGGGGGGGTGGTGGTGGTGGTGGTGGTAGTGGTGGTGGGGAGTGTTATTCTACATTAACACTGTTAAGAATTAAAAACGGTTGTCGTGGCTTTCCCTTCCATTATAAATGTTATGAATGACGCAGTGCTGTTCGATTCGAGCCGGTTTTCCCATACCACTGGTAGACAGAAAAACTCTATACGCGCCTAAAATATTTTTATACTCAATTTCACCCTTAAAAAAACACTGACACCCCCTCCCCCCCTTCCCCCCCCCTCCCCCCCCCCCCAAAAAAAAAATGTGTTTGTTATTTTTTGTTAGGCGAGATATTATGTTGTCAGAAGACTACCCAATCAATATTTTGCTACAGCGTCACGTATATTTTTAATGAAGTAAAAAGCGCAACTGCTCGAAACCGAAACTGGACTGGGGAGGAAGAAATGTTGAGGAGCAGAGAGTTTCCGGAAGTGACGCAACTTGCCAAACCGCGATTTTGTTTTGGTCGGGTGAGGCAGACAAATAATTAGCACACCGCATGAAAAACGCCAAAGTCAAGCACCAAGTGCTTTTGACGTTTGCGCGTTTTTCAAGCTCTTAAAGGGGCACTAAAGTCATTTTTGAAAAATGTCGTTTTTGATCTTATATTGTTAAAAATGTGCTAGTTTCCACATATACCAAGTCGCCTATATTACAAAACTGCCTATTCATATCAGTCCAATAGAAAAACATGTGGACTCGTTTTTTCTTGCGGACTACATTGTGCGCACCAAAGAAAACCCTACAGTACGCGCAGATTCCGAATGATTTTATTATAACTCGTTTCGAAGAGAGTTTGATAGGTACACATTCGGATAAGACTCCTCTTTTTCTACACAGGCGAAGCCATCGCTTGCAACTCGCCGACAAGCGCCCTTCGTCGACCACTTCACTCGGAAGAAAATTCTTTCCTAAAAGGGCGTGTCGCGATCTTTGAACACGTTTTTAACGAGGAATTAAGCTACGCACGATTGTGATTTCGGGTTTGTTGGGATGCTTAGAGCGTCTAAATTGAGTTGTCACCACAAAAGAACGACCTCCCCAGAATCGACTTCAGTGCCATTTTAAGGCTGGTTCACACTGCCCCAATTAAGTTACGTTAAGTTACGGAATATGGACGTTGAAGTCACCGGGACCTCCGTGTTTCATATTAAGCGAGGCTACAAGTTCAAGGAGAAAGCATGACACGCGACATTCGAGACACGAATGTTTTAGTGATTTACATGTAACGTAACTTAACGTAAGAAAATGGAGCAGTGTGAAAATGGGGCAGTTCACAAACTTGCAGAAACTACATTTATTGCAATAACGAATATTGAGAATTATTTGTAATGTGCCTTATGATTACCATAGTGAGGGTTTGTTTCGAAAGTTCAGAATGCTAAAAATTCTTAACCTCCATGACTATAAATTAAGCATCAGCTTACAACTCGAGAAAGAAAAAAAACGCGTTTCTTATCTGAGTTATCCGAGTTAGTGCCGAACGATCACGTCTATTTAACCCGACACATGGAATATTGGAAGGTTACCGGCAGTAAGACAAACTATGCTACTCAAACTCTACGTTACACTATACCTATATTGCTCAACTACCTCGCCAGCAACAAAACTTGTATAGACTCCATATCAAATAAAGATTTGCGTTCATTCTAATTGCGCTTGTGATTCTTCATCGATGCCTACTATGTTACCTATTATCTACTTGTTTGTTTGAACTGTATAAGGTTATTTTTAGGGCTATAACAGTGTCTACTGTGTAGTGTTTATAATAGTTCTGATATTCTTTTTTTGTCTTTTTTATGTATATGCTTGTGTGCGCTTCTCTCTTTTTTTTTTTTTTTTTTTTCTTGTACTGCTGCGCTTGTCAGCGTATGGGGCTTCGGACTCGTCAAGCCTCCACTGGAGGCTTTTTCCCTTTTGTTCCTCCAATTCATTCGGAAAATAAAGTTATTATTATTGAATGAGACTTTACCAATGGGCCTTTTTCGAGTAAAAAGCGCCGTCTGGGGCGTTGTCTGCGAACTATAATAGAAGAGCAGCCCAACATGCCTCCGCCCGTGAAAACACGTTGGCATTGTGCCGTTGAATCGGTTTTCAGTGCTTTTTATATCCCATACTGCCGATACTAAAAACAAAGCGTCAAAATAGACTAAATACGCGCGAAGATAACGTTGCGGTCGCCATTTTCGCAGGGCACCGCGTCCCGGTATCCTGCTAAAATGGTGACAGCGGGAGTGTACGCATGCGCAGAAGCTTACTGGAAAAAGGTTAATTTGTGTTCGTAAGACGAGCGATGTCTTCAGCCAGTAGAAGGGACAACGACTCAGCGACGTCTTCGTGCGAATCAGCTCGGTGGTCGAACCTGTCGTACAGAATAATTTTTCTCTCGAAACTAGACAGATTAGCCGGTAGCGCTAACAACAGTTCTGAAGTAGAAGTCCCACGCCCGTCGTCCGCTGCCATCGCTTTGTCAGCTTCGTTCAGTCGTCTAGCCCGCGACTCCCGCAATACGACGCCATGTTGAGAATTACGGAGAGAATGCACAGAATGCTTCCAATTCTCTGCTCAACTTTTTTTTTTTTTTTCAATCAGCGTATGTGCAGAAGCTACAAAAATAGATATCATGTGGGTTTTTTTTTCTTCTATTTTTAATATTGAGTGTGTGCCTTCGATGACCCAGGACTTCGATTATATTTGGTGATAGTGCAATTAATGCAAAGGTGCAAGCGAGCTGGACAAGAATGACGTTCGTCGTATATTTGATGGTTGTGTCTAAACCATAGAGAACTGCACGTGACTACGGAGAAGAGAATGAGCGTGACCCAAACAGGCCAGTTCTCGATCGGCGGTTTTCGTGCGGAAAGAGAACGAATTTCGAGTGGCAAAAACGTCATGTACTACATACAAACGAAAACCTTGGCGAGCATATAAATACCCTGTCAGTACATATTTTAAGTTCGAGTACGGCCGATGCTACTCTCCGTTGGAGCCCATCAAGC